TTCTTTGTCACAGAGGCCCTCCTCGACCCCTCCATCTAAAACAGTTCTCATCACCCCACCCTGCTGTTCCTACTCGGCTTTGTTTTTTCTCAGAGCATGGATCGCTGGTTGAAAGGACTTCATATGCTGTGTTGTTTATTGTCCTTCTCCTGTGGAATGTCAACTCCTCCAGGGCAGGGGCTTTTCCTGCGTTGCTCGTCTGTGTTTCCAGCACCTGGCCCAGGGCTTGGCACACAGTGGGCCCTAAATAGTAGTTCGATCAATGCCTAAAGACCCCCGTGGCATCGAACATTTACAGTCTGCTCGGTGCTTCCCATCTACCATTGCAGCAGTGCTGTGAGACTGCAGTTTGAATCCAGCTTTGTCTGGCTCCGACACCTGGGCTCAACTCAGATATTCTGCCCTCTTTAGTCCCACTTTCCTCCTCTGTGAAATCATTTGCCAATAGTACAGATACATATAGGAATTGAGGTCCTGGCAAGTGACAGATCGTATACCCAGGAGAGTTGAATGGAAGAGAATTTGATGTGGGCTCTGTTCACACTGGGGCACAAGAGGAAACAGTGTTGTCGGAGGCTGGGGAGAGCAGGACGCATGGCTGAGGGTCCCCCCCACCCAAGAGCAAGGCTGAGGCGAGGGGTGGGGGCAGTAACCCGTGGGTTGGCCTCTCCTCCATGCTGGTGCCCCACCACTGGCCGAACTCAACTGGCAGCTGGGGGTCAGGGAGCCTCTGTGATGCATAGGTTCCTGAAGGGCACGATCTCCTACAATTGTCATGAGAATTACATGAAGCTGGGTATGTGACTTGCCTGGCTCAGCACCAGTGACTTAGTTGATGTCATTATTAGGTGGATATTGAAAGCACTCATGATCGTTAGGTTGTCATATCCGATTTCCTCCCTGCTTCTTCCCTCCTGCCCTCCTCCTTCCTTCCTCTGAGCTTTTCAGTTCTGCTAGGAGTGAAGATCCGCACAAGCAGTGTGACGTCACCAGAAGCAACGCTGGCTGTGTTTACAACACAATACCCTCATTCCCTCAGTTCAAGGATATACACTTCTCACATTTTTCATGTTGCTGAACTAGGACATGGCTCATAGCTGATGAGCCCTTTTCACAACCCTTTTCACAAGGACAGGCCTGTTTTTCTTGTTCACCCCTGTGTCCCCCTGGCTCACAGTAGTCGCTCGGTAAATACCTGTGGGATGAGTGCATTAATTTTGAGAGTAGGAGCTGCCTTGTATGTGCGTGACTATACGAGTGTGTCAGTGTCAAGGATTACTAGCACATCCATGGAAAGTCTTCCTCTGGGGAAGTCCTTGGATTGTGTGTTCCAGCCTGACCACCTTCTCTGTCTGGGTTAGCCCTAGTCCGGGACTGTGGATTTAGATGAAGAAGCTGAAGGTCCCAGAGGCCACGTCATCAGAAAACACCTACTCAGTGGGATCCCGATTGTGGGGGGCACATGGAGCATCCCAAGGACATGGGCTCCTAGCACCTTCCTTCTTTTTTTATGATGAAATATTTCAGACATACTCCAAGATAGAGGGAATGATAGAACAAACCCTCCTGAAAACCTAAAAAACAAGCTTTGACAGACGTTCCTGGAGCTTGTGTTTCCCTCTCCAGTCGCTTTCATTCCTTCTCTGCTCAGAGGTAACCACTATGCCGCATTTGGTATTTAGAATTCCTCTGTGTGTGTGTGTATAAATATCCACAATCGGTGCTCGCAATTCACAATAGTTATGTTCTGTAAAATCTCTGTGAACACTGAGCTGACAAATACTGCACCACGGCTCCTAGGGGAAATATGTACACACATCTCTCACGCAGATTATACCGTCTTAAATCCTAAAATCAATTCATTTGGGTAGATTCCATTTTCTTTATTTTATAAAAGAGAAAAACAAAATAATAATAAATGAGAAAAACGAGGTTCAGAGTGTTAAGTGACCGGCTTGAGGCCACCCCACAACAGGTGCCAGGGGTGCTTTTGGAGACGCTGCTTTCTCTTCCAGCGGTCTCCTGCGTTGTGGCCGAGTGGAGTGGCTGGAGTCGCTGTGTCAAGCCCTGTCAGGTCTCCTACCGTGTCCGCCAGAGGCAGGTCCTGCAGGAGCCAAGGAATGGGGGTGCTCTGTGTCCACCTCTGGAAGAGCAGGCTGGCTGTGTGGAGTACCGGAGCCGCCAGGGAGCAGAGTGCCTGCAGTCCTTGCGTGAGTTGGGTTGGCCACCAGGGGCAGCCACCGGAGGTGGATGTCAGATCCCATGGGGGGTCTGAGTTGGGGGTGGGGCTTCGCCTTCCTTTTGCCCCGATTTCCTCTCTTCACCTTGGGAATGAGGTAAGACGCTCTGATTTCTCCTGGGCATCTCAACATCTCCTTTCTACTCATCTCCCAGTGTGAATCAGTCAGGGCTTTGAATGCCCATGATGGGAAACCTAACTTAAACTGACTCGAGCAAAAATGCGTGGCTCATGTAACTAAAATTTTAATGGCTGCGTTCAGGCATGGCTGGATCCAGGGGCTCACGCAATGTCGCCAGGAATCTCTCTTCATCTCTCTGCTCTGTTTTCCTCTGAGTTGGCCTCATTCTCAGGCCGGCTCTTCCCCTGCAATGGTCTTTGATCAGCTGGAAGAAAAGGCCTCTTTTTCATAGTTTCAGTAAATGTCCTGGGATGAAATCTCATTGGCTCGACCTGGGTCATGTATCTACTGCTGAACAATCAATTTGGCCAGAGCTATAGGATACTCTGATTGGCCAAGCCTGGAGGTGCTCCCTCTTTTTTGGGGGGACGGGGGGGGGCGAGGCAATCCTTGGTTGACCTCAAAGGTTGCAAGGACCTTATCAGCTTACAGTCCCTTATTTTTTTATTTTTTACGCCTAAGGGCCTGGTCTTCCTAGGTGGTCTTTCATCCAAGGCCCGACCCTGCTTAGCTTCTGAGATCAGACGGGCTCGTTCAGGGTAGCATGGCCGTAGACGAGGGTACTCCCTTTGAAGCTGGGAGGTGGAGGGCAGCCCCATCTGAATGAAAGTAGGGGAGGGGTGTTCTCCAAAGGAAAATTGGGAGAATGGATGCAGCGTAGGCAAAACTACAGATGTCGGCTACATCACATACCCTGACAAAAGATTTTTATATCGCTCCAAAAAAATAGCCGATGCCCATTTTACCGCTGCAGAAATTGACCGAGAGAGTGGCAGTGATTTTCCTGAAGGGGGAGGACAGCAGGTGGCAGGGCGAAATTGTACCCTGCCAATCGATCTCTCCCCATGCTACAGCCTGGCAGGGAGGGGAGCTCATTCTACAGCACAACTCTTACCCTGGCACTCCCTCCTGCTTTAAATTCTTCAGTAGCTACCCAGCACCCTCAGGGGGAAACCTAAACTCCTCATCATGGTCTATAAACTCCATGCGATCTGGCTCTAGCCTCCTGTGACCTCATCTCCTTCCTCCCTCCGCCCGTGTTTTAAAGGATCACTCTGGCTGCTGTGGGGAGAACAGACTGGAAGGGGTCTGAGGGTAGCAGGGAGATCGGGAGAGAGGTGACTGCGGTGGTGCAGGTGAGAGAGGATGGTGGCTGGACCGGGGTTCCGGCAAGGGGGTGACGACAGTGGGAAAGTCATTTCCTTTCCCTGAAATCCTTCTCCCTCTCCCCTGCCACTCGCATCTAACCTTGCCCAGCCCATCATTTCCTGCCTGCTTGTCAGTTTTTCCGGGAGAATCTTCCTGACCGCCCCACTATGTGCAAGCACTTTGCCACATTCCTTGACTCTGGAAGGCCAGTGTTACTATTCTCACTTTAGAGAAGGGCAAACCAAGGTTCAGGGAGGCACAAAACTTGCCCGAAATACATGGCTCATCTTAAATAACTCCATGATGTAGGTACTAGTATCATCCCCATCTCACTGATGCGGAGACGGGGCCTCAGAGAGGTGCAGTAACTTGACCAAGATCACTCAGCTATAAGTGGCAGAGCTGGGACTAGAACCCAGGCTTCTCTGGGGCTCTCTTCACTGCTTCAGGCTGCAGCAAAAGAAGCACCATGGATGCCAGAGGGAAGGGAATTTGTGTGTTAAGTGTGTATGGCAAAAACCAAGCCCAGTCTCTATGGCAGTAGCAGGGAGGAAGGGCCTGGGATTCCCCTCCTCCCCACCCCGCCCCGGCCCTGTGTGGCCCTTGTCTAGGTCACAAGAATTAGTTCTACACCAAATCTTTGATTCAGCTCCATCACTCAGAGAACAGCGAGGGGCAGAGACTTCATTTGGCATTTTTGTTTTCCTAAGGAATCACCAATTTCTCGAGGACTGACCCTCGATTCTCCTTCCCAGTGGTCTCTGTCTGCTCTAGGAAGGAAGAGACCTAGAAATTGGCCCAAGGAAATGATTATGTAAATTCATTTATCCATCGATCCCTCTGTACCTTCTTTCTTCTAGCCTTATTTCTTCCCACCCATTCGTTCACCCATCTATCCATCTACTTTCCCATCCATTTCTTTTATCCATTCATCTGTCCATCCACCTGTCATCTCTCCATCCATCCTTCTTTCCATTTATCATCTCTCCATCTCTCCTTTTTCTATCCTCCCATCTTCCCATTTATTTACCTGTCATCCATCCTTTCTACCTTCCTTCCATCATTTTATCCATCCATCCATCCATCATCCATCCATCCATCCATCCATCCATCCATCCACTTATTAACCCTTTTATCTACTTTTTTACTCATTCATTATTCATCGAAATCATTCATTTGAAAAACTTTTGAGGCTCACTATGCAAGCCACTATGGTAGTCCCTGACCCTCAGAAATAAATATGATCTTGCCTCCAGCATTGCATAAAGTGTGCTAGTGGGGACTGCCAGTTTCAAGATCCTATTGTCTCCTTAGGGCTGCCGCATAAATAACTCCACGGCAGGAGTACCTAACCCTGATTCCTATGGTGTCCTAGCCTAGGGGGTGCTGAGCTACCTAACTCTGTTTCCTCCTTGGCCCACAGTCCCTGCTCTGATAACCATAGGCAGCTACGGCAAAGAGAGGAAGAAGCAAGGTGTCGCCAAGGAGCTGGAGACAGTAGGGTAAGTTGAAGCAAATGAACACACAATCAAACTAAAATTTGTGGACATTTTCCTTGGATTAAACTTTCATCATGTCTTTCTCTTATGTTGACAGTTTCGATATCTCTCTATTTCTTGTCTTGTTATATTTGTAAGCTCATTAACACAGATTTTGAAGTTCTTAATAATTGGTTTCCATTCAACTTTCTTCATCCATCCACCCATCCATCCATCCATCCATCCATCCATCCATCCATCCACTCAACATTTACTGAGTGCCCATTATATGGCAGGCAGTGTGCTAGGCCTGGAGCTACAGCAAGGAGCAAAAAAGGACAAAAATATGTGTCCTCATGAAGTGGACAGTCTAGTTAAAGGAGACAGACAATAAATAAATAACTAGCATGTCACAGGGCACAGGTGCTACGAAGAAAAATAAAGCAGGGAACAGGATGGGGTGCCAGGGATATCCTCCCTGAGAAAGTATTTGAACTAAGATCTAGAGAAGGCCTTCTGGGGGAAGAGCATGTCTGAAAAAGGGACCAGCACGTACAAAGGTCCTGAGGCAGGGCATGCCTGGTGTGTTCAAGGCTCACCAAGAAGACCAGTGTGGCTGGACAGCAGGGAGAGTGAAAGAATAGGAAATAAGGTCAGAAATATATGAAGGTGGGGTGGGTCAGATCACACAGGGCCTATAGAGTGTGGTGGGAAGCTGGGTACTTTCTCATATGAGATGGGAAGCGTGGGAGGGTTTTGAGCAGAGTGACATGACCTGACTTAGATTTTCGCATGGTCTCTTTGAATGCTGTTTGGAGACTCAGTTGCAGAGATGCAAGGAGGGAGTCAGGAGACTAATGGGGAGGCTACTGCCATGGTCCAGATGAGAGATGAAGTTGTTTAGATCAGGGCGGTAGCCCTGCACCTTGTGAAGTGAATTGCAGGGACTGGAGACAGACCAGTGTGTTGGGGACAGTGGTGGTGGGGCTTAAGCTTCCAGGACGGTGCCTGGCACATGGCAGATACTCAATAAATGTCAATTGAAAGAATAAGGTCTGAACGAAGGCAGTGACAATGGAGATAGAGAGGAGAGCTATATTAGTTAGGATTCCTTTCATTGCAAGTGACAGAAACTCAGCTCAAACTGACTCAAGTGAAAAGGAGAATTATTGGTTTACATAACTGGGTAGGAGGTTTTGAAACAGTATTACTTCAAGCATGGCCAGAGCTGAGAGGCCAAATAATATCAGAACTCACTCTCATATTCATTCTCTCTCTCTCTCTCTCTCTCTCTCTGTTTTTTATTCTCTCCCCTTCCCTCTCTCTCCATGTATTGGTTTCATTTTCAAGCAGCCATTCTCCCTGCACTGGCCAGTATGGCCACCAGCAGCCCCACATCCTCCCAGCTCAGCAACCGCGAGATAGAGAGGAGAGCTATATTAGTTAGGATTCCTTTCATTGCAAGTGACAGAAACTCAGCTCAAACTGACTCAAGTGAAAAGGAGAATTATTGGTTTACATAACTGGGTAGGAGGTTTTGAAACAGTATTACTTCAAGCATGGCCAGAGCCGAGAGGCCAAATAATGTCAGAACTCACTCTCATATTCATTCTCTCTCTCTCTCTCTCTCTCTCTCTGTTTCTTATTCTCTCCCCTTCCCTCTCTCTCCATGTATTGGTTTCATTTTCAAGCAGCCATTCTCCCTGCACTGGCCAGTATGGCCACCAGCAGCCCCACATCCTCCCAGCTCAGCAACGCCAGTGGAAGGAGCCTCTCCTCCTAGTCTCAGCGTGCCATTTCTGGAGGAGACTTTTATTGGTCCTGCTTGAATCCCAGGCCCATCCCTGAATCAATCACTGTGGCCAGGAAGATGGGAACTCTAATGGGTCGGCTTCAGTCATCTATGGAGGCTAGTGGCAGGTGTGGGGAGCCAGGACCAGCCACCCTGATTGATTGCTTTTCTAAGACCAAAAAGTGTGGGGCAAGAGTTCCCCAAATACACCACCAAAAGGGGAAGCAGGAGCGTATTGGGAAGACAAACTTTCCATTTATCACAGGCTCTGGTAAGGAACAAATTCCTGAGGAGTTCTGGGGCAGCTCAGAGAGGAAGGAGCTTGGAGACAGACAGGTTCCTTCCTAGAAAACTCTTCTCCTTAGGCCTCCCAGAGACTGTAGCCACCAGGGGGCACTAGCCCCACACAGAGTCATCCCTGGGTCCTTGACAAGCTGCATCTCCTCCAGCAGGGGGAGCTATTTACTGCTACTTGTAGAGAAGTTGGGTAGAAGCAAAATTTTGGTGAATTGGCTTTTATTTCAGATACCCCAGAATAGGGAGCTTCCTTTTCAAAATAATTCTTGTGGAGAATCTCTTCTACAAAATAGGATCTTTTGTAAAACGCAGTGGAGTGGTTAGGAGTGTCAATTTACGCTTTTCCGGTTCAGGTGGTTCCATTTTAGGCACGACCACTTAGTAGCTGTGCTACCCTGTGCAAGTTAACTCGTTGATCCTCAGTTTCTTAATCTGTAGACAGAGGCAACACCTACCTTACAAGGTTTCTCTAGTCCATTGGCCCAATGATTCATTCTGCAAATTTTTACTGAGTCGGGACTTTTCTAGGAGTTGGACACAACCATGAATGGAACAAACACAAATTCCTGCCTCTGTGGGGCTCACATACTAGTGGGGAGACAGATGAGAAATGAACCATGTAGCCTTTTGGATTCGAGCCTGACACCTGGAAGCCCTCAATGAGGTTAACTTAAAAAGCAGGAGCTGAGTCTCTTGTATGCAACCTGTTGACATAAATTGGATTGCCCAAAAGGTTGCTATGTCGGGGAGATATTGTATTAGCCTGGGCCTACATAGGACTAGGTGTACAGTAGGCACTTCATAAATGCTCACAGGTGCTTGGGGTGGTGTCTCCTTGTGTGGCTGCAGGTACTGTGTCCAGTTCCGTCTGGGGCCCATTCCAGGGAGCTGCCGGCAGGTGAGGGCACCCCATGCCCAGTGGATGAAGTATTTGGCCCAGGGTCATATGGTCTGTGTGAGGTGTGAGTGGCCTGCCCAGGACATCAGGAGCCGGCGCTGCTATGGAGACGGTGGTGAGGCTTCCGGGTGAGCAGTGGGGCTGGGACACGGGAACATGTGACTGCAGAGTCTGGGGTTTCTTTGCTGTCTGAGAGATGATGGTGCCATAGAAGCAAGATGCTGATCCCTGGTCAGGGCCAGTTCTTGGAAGATCCTGGTCTCAGTGTCTGAGGAGGAGCAGCTCTTGCCTCTTAGAGCTGTGTGACTCAGGGCAAATCTCATAACCTCTCTGAACCCCAATTTCCTCATCCAAAAATGCACATAATAAGAGAAGCTCTCCACGGGGCATTGGTGAAGTTTAAGTATGATTATGTATGTTGGGGACTGAACATAGCTCCTGGCATCCAGAAAGACCTCAAGAAAAGGGAGTTGATATTATTGTCGAATCCTTACAGTTCCCTTTAAAAGCCAAGTTTGGTTACTCTCATTTTATAGATGGGGAAACTGAGGCTCAGAGAGGCAGTGTGCCTTAGCCAAGGTCACACTGCAAGATACTCATTTGGGGGCTTATATCAGCCCCCTAGACCTCCTCTCACAAAGGCAAGTGTCTCAGAAAGTACTTAACGTGCTAATTATAACAGCAGCTCATATTGAGTGCTTACTATGTGCCAAACATTCTTTTAACCTCTTTATATTAATTCGTGCATTTATTTATTCATTCATTCAATAAATATTTGTTGAGCACTTACTATTGAGCATGTGCCGGGCAATGTTTTAGGCACTGGGAAGACGCCGTGAATAAAGCGGATGCGGCCCCTTCTTTACAGAGACAACATTCTGCTGCGAAGAGACAGACGTTAGGAAGTAAATCTTTAATTTGTCAGGAGGGAGATAAGGAAAGGAAGCAGAATGAGTGGGAAGTTCTGGGGGCTGTTATTTTTCAAGGAAGATGACACGGAGGAGGTGACATTTGAACAGAGATCTGAAGGAAATGAGGGAGGAATCCATGTGGATATTTGGGGGAAGGTGTTCCAGGCAGAGGGCACAGCAAGTGCAAAGGCCCTGAGGTGGGAGCGTGCTGCCATCGTGGCTGGAGTGGAGTGAACGAGGGGGAGGGTGGAAGGAAGTGAGGACACGCTGACACACAGTATGCCATTGAAACATTCCATTAACCCAGATGGGTACTTTTAGGACCTTTACTTTCCGGATGAGGAGACTGGGGCAGGAAGAGGTACCCAAAGTCACACACCCCCAGCAAGCGGCAGAACCTATACTGTTCAGATCCCTGAGCCAAGCTCTAAAGACTAGTCGAGACTGTTCTCACTGCCAGTGCTTTTCCAGGGATTATTATCGTGTAGCAACAGGAGCACTTTCTGGGGTCTGTCCAGGGAGTTCTTCTCCCTATTCCTAACAGTGTTAATTTCTGCCTTTTAAAATTGAGCAGCCCCACTCACTGCAAACCTAGAGCAGGCAATGCCAGTGACAGATGGGACGTTAGGGACAGATGTTCCTGAACAAGAGGCACTGGGACTGCCCAGATCTGGATTCAAACCCAGCCTCTGGCCCTTACTAGCTGTGTGACTCTGGGCTAACCCTCCACCTGGCACCGAAAGTCCCCACCACTTGTATCGGGGGATGATCCCGTGCCTTTTGAATAGCACCTGGCTTCTCATAGATGCTCAGTCGTGGAAGCTGCTGTCGTCGTGTCTAACTTACACAATGGGTATAATAATCCATACATTATGAAAATGAAATGTAATGGATGTGATGTACCTGGTACATAGTAGGCGCCCAGTAAACAAATGGCAGACAGTATGATCACACTCTAGCGAGGCCCTCTCTGTCTACCCCCCTCCAACTTTTCTCCCACTTGTATGTCCTAGACCCGAGATTCTACCATTAGAGATTCATTCTTTGGGCTACATGCTCACTTGTTAGAGCTTTGGTTTATCCATCTATCACTGGATATGCCTTTCTAGCCCTAAAACTCTGATTAATTCCAAATTTTTCTTTTTGGATGCAAATACTCCGGGATGAGGAACATGGCAGTTGGTGAGGCTGAGATGAGTGTGTAGGAATCTCTGGCTCCACCAGGGAGGGGCAGGAATGAAAAGAGAGCCAGGGCTATGCCAGAGGGAGCCCCCACTCCCCACTCCCACCCCGGCCAGGCTCACAACAGGTGACGGAAGGTCTGATTGGGGCATGAGCTCACCAGGCAGGACTGGGCAGAGCAGGAGGATCAAAGTGAGGATAGAGACGAGCTGTCAGCTGGATTCTTTCCGTGGGCAGCTGGCGAGGGCGGGCGTGCAAAGGGCACGGACCCGGGAGGGATTAGCCTGTCGGGTGGGGATTTTAGGAGGGTTTATTTAGCCTGAGAAGTGTCTCTGAGTTTGGGACAAGCAGAAAGAGCACCTGCCATAGTCATGCACCTACTGTATACCAGGCACCAGGTAGATGCTTTACATCATTTAGGCCTCCCAAGGCTTTTTGAGACAAGGGACATTAACTCCATTTTATATAATGAGGATGGCAATAATAGTGGTAACTTTAAATGCTATTATTTGTGAAGCACCTATTATGTGTCAGGTACTGTATTAAGATGCTTAGGACAGTGCTGGGCACTTAATAGGCACTCAATCGGTGTTTATTATTGTTATTATTTGCTTCTTTTTTTAAAGATTTGAATTATACCTTCAGAGAATTGGCTAAAAAATGTATCAACAGGTTAATAAATGTTTGGAAAGGAGACATACCTGGGTAGTCATCAGTCAAGGAACAAAACCTGGCCAGCCCCCCCAAATCCCCCTAACCACAGCCCTGCCCTCCCCATAAAAGAAACCGCCACCCTGACTATCATGGGAATCCATCGTATAGTTCTCCTAATAGCTTTACTCACCTCAGTGGAGAGCCTTGAACACTCTAGTTTAATTTTGCTTTTTTTCAAACTTTACATACACGAAAAGATGCCGGGGGTGCCTTTTGGAATCTAGCTTCTTTTGCTTGATATGAGGTTTGCAAATTTCGTCCACATGGCTGCCTTGTAGCATTAGCTCTTTCGTTCTCGTGGCTGACATGGTTAGCTATTATTGTCATGATCATTTTATTTTCTCTGCACAGAGCATCTCATAGAACCCTTTCAGCACTTCAGAGAGGCAGAGATTATGGATATCTCTGTGGTCCATCGAAGAGACAGAGGAGGCTCCTAGGAGCTGGGTCATGACCCCTGCTGATTCCAGAGCCTGGTTCTTACTCACTCCACTGTGTTGCCTCCCAACAGGAGGAGGCGGGGGCGGGCGGCGAAGGGAGGTTAAGAAACTTGCCAGGTTTGCCACCTCACCAGATCCTAAGAACTGGGTCCGGATTGCCCTGTGTGGCCTCTGGGGTTGGCGCTCTGTGGCCAGCTCAGGGCCATTCTCCATCAGGCACAGTAGACACAGGTCCCAGTGCTCGCCCACTTTTAGGGCCCATGAAAAATTTTTAAAAATTAATTTCTTTTCAAATCAGAAGAAAAAAATATAATAATCATAAAGATCTAATAATGAATCCAGCCTGGGTTATATCGATCTTTATACACTCATAGTTTATGTACTCATAAACTATGAATTAAAAATATTTTTTGCACGGAAGAAGGGGCCCACACAGGCAAATGTCCCCGGAGCCCAGAGATTCATTATGCCACTAAACCAGCCCCATCTCTTGCAGGAACCAGCTGTTGCTGTGGCAAGCGGCCGGCCACCCCCGGTGCCAAGGGACCTGGGAGAGGCTCGGGCAGCTCCGGGACTGTTCTTGCCCCGAGGTCCACAGCCTCATCTTCATCTAGCGCTGGAGCCCCCTAACTGTCCAACCCCTTTCTTTTCAAAGCCTTCTCAGCTGGGAGGGAACCCACCCCCCACCCCTAGCTTGGGATCCCACAAAACCAGGGAGCGAGGAGAAGTCTGCAAATTTGAGACTAGAGGAAGAAGCCTTGTCCTTATGTTGACACTGAAAATAGCTCTGTGTTTCCACTGGGTGCCAGCTGAGTCACAGCCTTGCGAACATCTCTCTCTAGTTCGGGGCTTCCCAAATGTCATCTCCTAAACACACTCTGGTGGCTTTTGCCCTGTTCTTCTTACCTGTACACTGACTTTTTTTTTTTTGACTCTCTACTCTTTTTTTTTTTGCTTAAATGAATTTATTTTAAAAGACAGCTTATACTTAAATACATGTGTTTAAAGAGAACCGTTTTATCACAACTAGAGATAAAAATAAGTAATAGTAGCAAACATTTATTAAATACCTACACTGTGCCATGCACTGTCCCGGCACTTCACACGTATTGACTCATTGGATCCTGAGCTAGGTGCAGTTATTACTCCCATTTTACATGTGAGGAAATTGAGGCACAGAAAGGTAAAGCCACTTGCCTGAGGTCACACAGCTACTGAGTGGCAGAGTGGGGTTTTGAAACCCATGAGCTACATCTACTGCTACGATTCCCTACATTAGCCGTATGTCAGCACCACAAGGACAGGGTTTTTGGTCTGCCTTGTTCCCCGCTATGTCCCCTGTGCCTAGAACAATGCCTGGCATGCAGGGATGCTCAATAAATATTTGCTGAATTAATGAATGAATAGACGAATGATCATTTGCCGTAATTAAATGGCAATCAGAAAATTGAATACAATGGAAACCAAACAAGTGTGGCTACGTATTGTTGCCTGCCCAAGTTGCTGAACATAAAGCCTCTCTTCTTGTTTTAGCAAGAAATTAGCATGTGTTTGAGAGACAGTACAGACACACTGGTATTTAATGGTGACTTGGTCCTTGAGGAATTAGAACAATTACAAGAGACTTGAAAGGGGACTAATTTTCTCCCTTTGCAAGTCAACTGTTATTAATATATTTTAATGGCTTTATCGAGATATAATTCACATACTATACCATTATCTCAGTTAAAGGGTACCATTTAGCCCTTTTTAGTATATTCATAGGATTGTATAACCATTACCAAAGACAAGTTTTAGAACAATTTTTGTCCCCCTGAAAGTTCTCGTACCCATTAGCAGTTACTCCCTATTGGTCAGACCTCTCCGGCCCTAAGCAACCACTAATCTGCTTTCCATTCCTGTGGATTTATTTATTCTGAACATTTTATATAAATGGAAACATACGAATGGTCTTCCGTATCTGATTTCTTTCACTTAGCATAATGTTTTCAAGGTCCATCCACCTTGTAGTTTATTATTTAATGTCCCATCCGGGGTTTGTGTAAGACCATCTCAGTGGAGTCCCCCACTTGGGGAAGCACTATTGTCATGAAAGGAGAGTTTGGGGGCATCGTGGCTCACTCCCTCCCTTCGCTAAGAGTGTGCTGGCCCAGTGTTCCCGGCCTTTGGACTCAGGAGCATGGAGTATGGAGTTGGGGGAGGGGGTGTATCTTTTGGCTGTCCTGGTGCTGGGCAGCAACCTGGCCCAAATGTTGCTGCTACTCAATCCTCCTTTCTAAATCAGGGCTCTGGGCACTTCTGGGAATCACTGTCTGTTCCCTCTCTCTGGGAGTGAATGAGTCACTGGCTAAGCTTTTCAGCAACACCTGTGTATTGGAGGGCTGGGCAGTGGAGGGCACAGTGTGCAGACTGACCAGGAGGCCAGCGAGGCCGACTCACACCCAGGCCAGGTATCCCTGAAGCCGGCTCCCCCTGCCTCTTTCCCGACACTTGTTTTGGCCATAGGAGGCCATTTTATGTGCAAATTATTTTATGCAGAAATCATTTTACATGTGTATGGTACTGTCTTCCCAAGCAGTCTGTAAGCGCCTCAATTGCCCAGGCTCTGTAGTACGTACTTTTTGGAGTCTCTTGTAGCTACCATTTTCCCCCATCCCTAAATAGTGACGCCTGTTTTAATCCTCTCAAGGGCCCTGTAATGCAGGTGATCTTTTATCCATTTACAAATAAGGAACCTGAGGCTCAGGAAAGTCAAATGACTTGCATGAGCTGTCATGATTAGGAAATGCTGGAGCTAGGAATGGAACTGAACTCCAAAGCCTGTGCTCTTGATTGAACAGGAAGGCAGAGGCTGTGGTGAGGAACAGCTTGGTTACAGGTATCCAGAAGGCGGAGCCATCCCGTGGGTGCTATGAAATGGGGCATTGACCTTGGGTACTTCCTCTGGAGTGTGTTGCTGGGGCTTGTGCAGAGTCAGGGAATCTGCTGGGGAGGGGGAGGTATCTCCATCTAGCTAATACTTTTTAAAAAATCTGAAATGTATTAAGGATGGAGATGAGGAGCATGGAGTGTGATGTTTCCAGAGCTTTGCCCCACACCTAAAGACCTTCAGTCAAGGAAGGCCCTTTGGGGATGAGGGACAGAATTCAACCAACTTTAACAAAAATGAAAACTTTTCGACTCATGTAGTTAAAATATCCAGGATGGATCTGCCTTTAGGTGTAGCTGAATTCAGGGGTTTAAAAGTCAAAGCTTTTATATCTTTCTTGTGGCTCTGCTCTCCTTTGCACTGGCTTCATTCTTAGGTAGGCATCTTGTGGTGGCATAGATGGCTGCCAGGAGCTCTAGGTTTTCTTCCTCCTAGTTCAGCATTGCTGAGAGGAAGAGAGATTTCAATTTCCAATGGCCTTAACCTCAGCTAAAGTCCTGGGGTTGCTGCTCATTGGCCTGGCTCATCTCACATGCTCATCTCAAAACTAATCAGGCCGTGGGGAATGGACCGCTCTGATTGGCTGGGGATGGGCCAGGTGCTCATCCTGGAGGTAGGGGAGGAGTCAGTCCTACTTGAACCACATGGACCAAGAGTGGGGAAAGGATAGTTCCCCAAGGAAAACTCAGGGTGCCGGTATCAGAAGCAGCAGGTGTTAGGGATGGGCAGGTCCCAAACAACAGACATCCTCCTCTCGGGATATGGAGGAGCTGCCATCCAGCTATCTGGCTTTGCCACCAACTTGCTATGTGACCTTGAGCAAGCCCCTTCCCCTCTCTCATCCCCAGTGTCCCCATCTGTATAGTGATGATCCCTATGGACTAATCCAGCTCTGAACATCTGAGGCTAGCAGACTTCATTTAGCTAATGGCCCAGCATTCTAGCTTAACAGATCTGAGCTGTGGCTTAGGAATGCATGGCCTTCACAAACCCTGAGATTGAACTTGGGACCGGACATCCAGCCTCCTGTTCCTGCCCATCCCAGAAGGGTACAGCCTGTGACGATGGGAGGGGAGGGCTCTGAGGAGGTTGCCTTGCACATCCCCAGCGTTCTCCATCTATAATTGGCTCCAAATGAAATGATCTCATTCCTGAACACTGAGAAGAAGGGTGGGGAGTGGGGGGGCAGGCAGAGAAACAGCTCCCTGGCAGCATCTGACATAGTTTGTGACTAACCCTTTTTCCTGCAGGAGAGAGATGGTTTGCTCTCTCGAAGATGATGTGAAAGTTTGAAAAAAAAAAAAAAAATCTTGGTAATAGATGGAGGAGGCTCCAGCTTTTGGGGCTTTTGAGAGGCCCAAGGCATTTCTCCACTCTGTCCAAACCAGGTATCTTCTGACTGTTGCTCGCAAGTCAACTTGACCACCAGTCACTCATGTGAACACCTGGTGGGGAGAAGGTGAGCATGGCCGGTTCATCAAGCGATTTGTCTTGTTAGAGTTTGGAGGCCGGCTGAAGCTCATTTAAATGCCCATACATTCATTTTGAAAGATGAGCTCCTAATCAACTTTTAAAAAAACTTGTCACAGCACCATCTGTTTGGAGTTTGTCACTATTGCATTACATAAGAGGAAAGACATTTTTAAAGAATGCGGCTGCATTTAGTAATTGGATCTCCGGAGAGGAGCCAAGCCGGGCGGATGACACCGTGATTCAGAAATGCCATAGGCCCTTCTCCGGGGTGCGGCGGCCTCCCCAAATTCCACGCGGTCGTGGCAGAGACCTGAGTGCAGCCCAGCTTGGGAGACAGGCTCCGGTGGCTTCTTTTTCTCTTGCTTTTCTCTGCCTCTCTCTGTTACATCCTCTCCAATGAGTTCTCCTGGGTTCTCCCTCATCCCTGCCACCTCAGACCAATTCTCTGCTGTATTAGCAATGACCAAATTAATTCACTTCCTTAAGTCCCTGTTTCCTCACCTAGAAAATGGGAATAATAATCGAGTGCTGCTGTGAGGTTTCGATGTATTAGCACGTACAGTGCCTGGGGCATAGTGAGCACTTGATAAGTGTTAGCCATTACATAAAGCTATGTCTGATACATCGTAGGTGCCAAATACATGTCTGTTTTCTTTTATTTTTTCTTCTCTTTCCTTTCATTCAACAAGTATTTAGGAACACTTAGAGGCAAACTGGGCAGTTACACAGCACTTAGAAGGGCCCGGGCTTAGTGCAATGCTCTGCAGCTGTTGTTTTGAATGCGTAATAGTTTTTAAACAAGGGGCCCTGCTTTTTCATTTTGTACTGGGTCCCACAAATTATGTAGCTGGTTCCATCTAGACATGTAGAATGGTGCTATGTTTTATTGGATTGCCCAACGTTTAAACAATTGAGTCCACATATTAAAGTCAGGAGAGTTCACATAAAAATCTGGCATATTTTGGAAAATTAGAACATCTTGCCATAGTTGGGTCTGCATTTCCACATGCTGCCAGTGACGGGCTGGAGCTGGATCGTGGTGCCCTCTGCCTAAGGCACATGTTTCTGCCTAGCACTCCTAGGGGCTTTGAACCGAGTCCCTTTGCTCATTTACAGAGCATCCGGCATGGCAGTTGGGGTCATGGTCTTTGCCAGATATGCTTTCTGCTTTGATATGCTTTCTGCTTTGCCAGTTAACAGCCATTTAATCTT